AGTGCCACACTTTGTATAGAGTTGACACTGAATGTGTAGCTATCAACTGACCTGCATGGAGAAGGGGACAGACATCTTTACTGAGATATGAATGACTGGCTGTTTGGAAGAAGAATAAACAGCTGTAGCCATCATCCACTATCAACAATTCCCTTTGTCATTTATGACTGGACATCCAAGAACTCAAAGCCATTCCAGTTCTCAAAGCCCACCAATCTCCATGCTTTAGCCAGAAACGAACTACACGCTTTAGGGTTCATTCAGAGTGTAAGTGTCAAAGTAAACTTGCATTTTTTTTTCCAGAGTGCATGCCCATTGAAAATGATAAAGTATCAGTTTAAAAAGAGGAAGGTTTTCAAACAAGTGTCAACTGAAGAGCTCACAAAAGTGGTGAACATATTTTAAACTTTGTGAAAGATTTCCCTCAGGGCTGAAGTACTTTTTCCCAAGGTCTGAAACGGATGTCATAGATCCATAACATCAATCCGTCTGAGGGTCAGCTATCCCTTTTGAGACTCTGGTAAGAATTATGCATTTTCTTCACATAAATTCCAGACACAAAACTGTTCATGAAACTATAGACCCCAGGTTAAGAAGCCTCGTTCTAAGGCTGTTTATTCCAACAGTATTTCCCTGAAACAGGGCTTGGATGTACCTAGTGGGTGGTTGGTGGTGGCGGTGGGTGGCAGGAAACCAAAGAATTTTGGGAAAGTGCCCCAGCTGACTCTGATAGGCAGCCTGGTGATAAGATACTTTTATAGAAAAATTCTGCTGAAAGGGACCCAAGCAAGAAAAATCTAATCCATCCTTCTCATGACACAGGACGACACCGCAGCCCAAACCTTCCCTCTCTAAAGTGACACTCCTAGTTCCTGTGCAGCCAGTATCCGAGGTCAGCTCCTCTGACTTCCAGGTCAGCAGGCCTGTCACTAACTCCATCACGCCATTATGCACGGCAAGGTTCCAGAAATGTCTTGTTTGGATTATTACTCTTGCAGCATTTATCAAAAGAAAATTGTGATGAAAAAAAAAAAAACAGGTACTAGGACAAGTAAATGGTAATTATTTGAACTTGGAGAAAACTAACTAGAAATGGCATTTTGTAACAATTTATTTCCCTGCTTTTGCTTTGGCTCACATCTCTGTCTACAAAGTTGCTTTCACAGTTATGGGAATGGCTTCAAGTTCATAAACTTTTTAACAAGCCCAAGATAACTAAGAGCGCAAATATGGAAGCTGATTTAAAAAGCAGTTCTTTTGTCTGAGTATGAGAGATGAATTTTCTCTAACTTATGTGGCAGGCAGTTAAGTTCCCCTGTTATAGATAGTTTTGTTTGTATTTGCTCAGAGACAGTTATATATTTTTAGAATATTTGTAACTGCAAGTCATTGGTTTAGAATTTTCTCTCTTCTCCTTCCTCTTCCATAAGGAAAAAAAAGAAGAAAAAAATTAATCCAATCCTCAAACCAAAGCAATCCAATTGATTTACAGGAATTTAAAAAAAAGACATTTTTTTTTCCTAAGGTTTCCGTTACAACACAAACTTATTTCCTCTTAACTTTTTAATTCCACGAAAGAAAATATTAAATACATGAAACTCCAACTACCAGGAATTAAGAAGTACTTTATAGAACATCTTTGGTCACCACCAAATTCCAGCTGCATCAAAACGATGACATTGTCTCTAAATCCTGGAAAACTGCTTGTGATGTTTTATGTGAAAGATACATAAAATGTGTATGATTCAACTATTATTTTTTAAAAGTACGTCTCTAAAACACAGACCCACACACGTACACATCCGGGGTTACCCCATGAGAGCATGAGGAGGCTGTTACACTTTAGTTTACACTCTTCTGAACTGTAAATTTGTTACGAGTACATACTCCAGTTATAATTTTCAGAAAATGAATAGGAGTTTAGGCATTATGATGCTGCTAAAAATTGCTCTTTTGCATTATTTAGTGAGGGTCTCACTAAAAAGTGAGGGAAATCTTCAACTCCAGGTAAACTGAAGGGAATTCTCTAGACTGGACACTAATACACTTAATTGTGGCTTCATCTTGAGCTTTCCCACAGATTCTGAATGACTCTGAACTGAAAATTTCTTGTGCTTGTGTTTTCCCATTTTTATGTATGTATTTCTTTATCTAGATATAATTGTTAGTTGGGGAGGCATAATAATTGGGGGCAAAAAGTGATGGCCAGCCAAAATTATGAAGATAAAAATTTGTATTGAAAACAAAAGATCACTTGTATAATTTCTTTTAGGCAATGTGTTCTATATCTACATTTTCATTTCTGGAAATACTAAAAACAGCAATGACCGCCAGCATTTATTGAGCATTTATGCTCTGTGCTGCAGACTGTTCCAAATGTTTTACTCTTATTAACTCACTAAATCTTCATTTCAACCCTGTGAGGGAACAAAGACAACTTGTCTTAGCAGCAGAGAAGGAATTTGAACCCAGAATGCCTGGCATCGGAGCCCAAACTTAACTTCTTTAAACTAAACTACTAGGTTCACATAAGTGATCATTTATATGCTCTTTTTGGTAGATGTCAAACCCAAATTCCCTATCGTTTTACTTGGGGAAGAAAGTTTGAAATGAATACCTTTCTATCTTCCAGTATGCCTATTGGTACACAAACGCATGGAACATTGTGTGTGAGCAATATTCTCTATGTGTGGTATGCACAGTAAGCCAGTGCATTCTGACATACCTTTACTCTTCACAGCTTGCAGGCACTCTACCTTACTAGATCAAGCTGTTTTCCTTTCCAGTCCATATAACCAATGCCAGAGAACAAAAATTCAATACCCTGAGTTGAGTTCCTAACCAAATTCCTTCTTCATTAGAACTTTAAAGCACACGTTTAAAGCACAAATGTCATGTGAATTACAGAAATACTTTAAAGTTGTTCTCGTGTGCTCTGAGAGGGAGCTGCCATTATGACCAAATAAGTGCTATGAAAAATATTTATACTTCTGTTCACAAATACTGCAGGTCTCATGCACTTTAGCTGATTAATTAGGTGTTCACTTGCAGGGTCTGATCTAAACAGCAATGTGCGGAATGTCAGCGTGACTGGAAATAGACCAAAAAACACTGTAACACGGCCAGACAAAACTTTCTCCCTGCTCTTGATGCTCAGGGTGTCAGGCAGATTACTCCAATGGTTCAGCTGAATATTTCTGGCAAGAATGTGAAATAGAAACCCCAGTTTGGGGAGGAGGGAGGAAGGCTGGCAAGAAAATGCTTTTATAGTGGATGATCTACTGTACCATCTGTGTCTGGAGGTATTTAAGAGTTTTATTTTGACTTCAATATCTGACATCATGATTTTAAAAAAGAAATGGAAACAGACATACTATTAGTTAAGACTTTGCTTCAATCCACATATCATTTTGATCCTATTTGTTCTAAAATGATTCTCCTGTGCATTTATTAGACTCCTTTGATTCTAAAAGGCAAAACCCACACGACAGCTGCCATTGTCATGTTCATTTTTTTTCTTCTACAATAAACTATCTGTTCCACAGTACAGTGACTAAAAACTAATATGAATTCAGGATTGAAAAGTGGAAACCTAGGATGATATAAAAGGTCTATTTCAGTCCATTTTAACCACTGCCCTTTTAGGCTATAAAGGGAAACAGAAAGACTTTAAAATTTTTGTTAATGGCTTACTTACATTTAAGCCTATACCGCTACGTGGCTCTGTAGCGCAATGGATAGCGCATTGGACTTCTAAGTCTATACTGCACATGTTCATGTTACAATTAAATTTAATACACACGATATAAATCACCTGAAATATTAATATTCATTTTACAGGTAGCATTTGGTCAGAGTGGAGAGCATGTTTGCCGTAGCTTCCCAGACGTCACACTACAGTTTAGCATGTCAACAAAGGAAGCAGTACTAACAAGCTACCAGCACCACCACCAATGACCACAAAAACCGCGCTGTGCTCACTGTGTGCTAATGATCTACACATTGGTGACCTTACAGGAGGGGTGTCCTAATCCCCATTTTATAATGAAGTGGAAAGTGACCTTCCTTCTCCAGGTCAGGCTGGAACCCGTAATATCCTAGGGTGATATTATGTACTCTTAGAGATACATGCAACTGATTACAAGGGAAATCATTTTAGCGAGGCATGCAGGGAAATAGGCCATAAAATCTTCCAGGGATATTTCTCCATTAGCTTCAATTAAAAAAAAAAATCAGGCAGTGAGCAAGAATCCCAATGAGTAAGGTTAAGAATAAGGCAGACCAAAATGCAAGCAACTATCCAAAAGAATGGTGGGAAAGGGCTTCCTTCTCTCAAGAGTTCTGGCTCAGAGAGGCCTCCCTGGACCACCCTATCTCAAACTGCCTCCATCCGGACCACCACCACTCACTATTCCTAAGCTGGAGTTCTTTTCTTCATAGCCCATATCACCATCTGACATCTTTTAGGTCTATTGTTTATTGCCTGGGCTTCCAACTGGAATGTAAGCACCATGAGAAAACAGGAGCCTATACCTATGCTTGAAACAGCAAGAATTCAATCATTATTTGCTGACTTAATAAATGAATTCATGGAGTCTCTCTCTCCTCATAAAAGTTTTAACTGAAAACATTTTACACCAGTATTTTTTTTTATTGATAATATACTGGTAATTGTGGTTACAAACAATGAAGGACTTTTTTCAAGCCATCCTATATAAAATGAGCAAGTAAATAACTGGAAGACATCGTATCAAAGCAGCAGCCCCAGGAGATAGCCCCTAGGTAAGCCAGCACTAGTTTGCTTTTCTTCTTCCTTTCGTCCCCATACCAGACAATAAGAATCAACAGAGTGGATTGTGGTTTTCATTCCACCCATTACCATTCTAAAGCTTTCTCCATGGTTCCAAAAAATGGTCCCAACATTTTGAAAATCCTTACCTCCTAGAAATAATGTTGTCCCCACACTTCCTCATCCCCAGCTCCCTCAGAACACCACCTACCTGCAACTTTACCCAGACTTGTTTTCGGGAAGTCGGGGTTCCTCAGCTCTTCAGTGCTTGTAGACTTCATGACAGAATTGATTGATGACAGGGTACTGATGAGCTGAGAGTTGAGAGAGCCAATCTGTGAGTGAGGTTCCCCAAAAGCTTCTGCCAGTTCACTATAGTTCTCAGCCAGCAGCGTCTGCTGTTCCGTCAGCAGCTTCTGGACGCGCTCAATGTAGTGATCCAAGCCGGTCATCATTCTAGGGGGAGCCTGGGTCTGGGGGCGCTCCACACACTCTTCTACAGGCTCATCCCCAACGCCTACACTCCTCCTGCTGCCCGTCAGCCCCACAGTCAACTGGGGAGGCCCACAAGCTATGGTCCTCATTTTGAGACCAACCAGATAGTTGTCACAAATATTTATCTGCCCTACTCCTGACTCTTTGGTCTTCACAGCTGATGGCCTCTCAAACCCAGAATTGCCAGAGAGTACCGTTCCAACTCCGATGGACCGCACCTTGGCGGAGGAATTGATGTCCTTGACACGGCCTTCTCCCACAGCCACCGTCCGCATCTCCACAGTCCAGGTGCTGGTCTGCTTGTCCAAAGTGTGGAGGGAAGTATTGGTATAGGAGTCTATAAGGGTGGCCGTCTCGGTGTTGGTGAACTGGTTCACCTGTTCCAAAACTGTGTTGGTGTGCTGGCTTGTGGTATGAGGCACCGCCATGATAGCAGCTTCTGCCTGGCCCACAGCCTCAGTGTTTATGCTCCGGGAGGTGCATTCCTTTGGAGAGCAGACAATCACATCGATAGAACAATCGCCACAACCGATAGATCGTACTTCTTTGAGATTCAGGTTGGTCTTCAGGAGTGTCAGGTCGTTCACAGACTCTTCCGTGTTGCTGCCTGTTTCACAGACGCTGATTTCCACACCCATGCTCTTGTCGCACGTCTCCACAGACCTCCCAGTGCATTGGTCGCGCAATTCCACCCTTTCCTTAACAACCCACCAATTCATGGGCAGCTCGGGCCCCACGACTTTATTCTCACAATTGGGCCGGCAGGAGATGCCCACACTACTTGTTTGCACAGAGGTCCCAACACATGTGTCGGCTATGTCCACGTGCCTGCCAACCATTTGGTCTCTCGTCTGCACCACTGCCTCCACCATCTTGCTGAAAACAAGCGGCTGGGCCATTACGGCTTTGTCAACTTTTTTCCTTGACCCAGCAGCCTGAAGCTCTTGCTTGAGTTTAGTCATCTCTCGGTCATGGGTGGTTTCTTTCAGCTGGACTTCCAGGCGGTAGATCTTTTCCTTTAAGGCTTCTATGGTCTGCTGTTGCAGTTCAATTTCTTTGTCCGCTTCAGTAGTCACTCCGAGCATTGCCTCTGTCACTCTGACCCCAGAATCCCTTGTCTGAATGACTGTCCCTACAGTGGCATCCTTATAGGACCCGGAGCCCCGGTGGTACACAACAATGTCATTCATGTTCTCATTAGCACCCACAGCCACTGACCGGCACTCTGGAGGCCGACACTCGCCATTCTCCCTGAACTCTGAGGAGGCCTCATAGCTGCTGTCCTGGATCTTCTGCTCCAGGGCCTGCATGTCTGCTGTGAGCTGCCGGAACTCCTTGATCCTCTGTGTGCTCTGCTCTACGCTCTCCATCTCTTCCTCTTCATAGTCAATATATAACTCCCCGCCACTACTCCGGGCCCTGGAGCGCTGTTCCAGCTGGGACGCGTTCCCAGCACTGTAGGACCGCTTCCTCACACCACAGACATCATTCTGGGAGGCAGCCCTTTGGTTTTTCAGCTGTGAGGCCAGCTGCCTTTTCTCCTCTTGCAAGACAGAGATCTTTACCTGGAGCACAGGGATGGTCCGCACCTGTTCCTCAAGCTCCTTCAGGCGTTTCAGGGCAATCGCCATCTGCTCGCGGATGTGCTGCAGGTGCATGGGGCTCACGTTTGTCACGGGGGTGGAGATCCCTGAGCTCAGGGGGCTGTGGTGGATGGAGCTCCCCATGGAAGACGTGGTGGCAGCAGCTGGGGCGTAACCACCGTAATCCCCATTGCCTTGGTATCCATTCTGAAGCTGGTGCATGGCAGAATTGTGGTTTGAACCCATAAAGGAGGAGAGAGAGCTCGTGGAGCCCATGCCCCCAAAACTGGCCAGCCTGGGTCTTCGGAACTCGCCTGATGTCACCTGCATGGTGACTCTCTCCTGTTCCAGTCTTCTCCGGGTCTCCATCAGTGTCTTGGTGACATGAAGGTTGTGCTTTGGGAGTTGTGGTGAGGGTGGCGGCAGCTGTCGCGTTTCTGGGATGGTAAAGAAAGTGGGTGAGATCTCCAGAGGGGCAGGTGGCCTTGCGATTGGAGTTGATGTAACTTGGCTTCTGGCTAGGAGGAAGCTGGGGCACTGCTTGTTGTCATCACTGTTGGAGGATGAGAGAGATTCCGTGGAGGTCCACAAGCCTTGCTGGCCAGGGGTGGCCCTGCTTTCTGGGCATGGCACGGAGGGCTTCCGCCTCTTTTGGATGTTCAATTTCTTGATGGTGTTTCCTTTCTGTATGTCATCCACGTACTTGAGGAAATCTAAGTCTAGTTGATAGCCATAGGGAGTCTCCACAAAATAAGGATCTTTCTGTTCTTTGTCATGGTCTCTATTCAGAACATCGCCTGCGCCTGCGTTTCCTAAGGGAAAAGAGAGAAGATCATATTTTAACGCCATGTAATACGCATAACGGTAAAAACTAATATTTGTGTATGTTGCAGTGTGGCAAGCTGGTATGATTTAAGAGTTGACAGACCTATGCACTAATCTTGGATCTCTAACTTAATAAACCTCTGGGAACTTGTTTCCTCCTGAGTAAAAAAATGAAAATACAAGCATTTAACTCATAAAGTTGTTATAAGAATATAATGAGATAATGATTTTAAACAGCCAAGCACATAGTAAGTTCTTACTAAATACTTTATTTTTTTAAAAGAATGCATTAAAAAAGACTTAAAAACACCCAAAACTAATATATTGGGTTGTCGGAAAAGTCATAACGTATTTTTTCTATGTTTTTCGTTGCAAAAAAGCGTCATGACTTTTCCGACAACCCAATATTTGATGCTAGCTATATTTTAATTAAAAAAATCTTAAAAGATTAAAATTAAAAAAATTTAGAAGTATTTTCAAATAGATACTTTCTTTTGTTGTATACATAGTCCCTTGAAGTATGGATAGCAGTCATTAAGACTTCTATTTTATAAAGTGTGCGGTTAGGCACAAAAGTGAACAGTTTTAGAATAACTGACCAAGTCAGTGCAGATTCCGGAAGCCTGGGACATGAGTTCTCCACCAGGTCGCAGATCATGCAGCTTTTCTAAATGGTGGCCAAGCAGTCCCAGTGCCTGATTGCCTCCATAAGATCACAATTTCCCTTGATACCTTCCTTGCAGAGAAAGCTGGGACACAGGGGGTGTTGAGTGATTTACTCCAGCAGCATGGGTGAAAGACTACAGAGGACAAACTTCAACTCTGTTTTGTGTCTTTTCATTGAAAACAAAACCAAGCCCTGTGCTAACTAGAGGAAACGTTTTCTCCACTTTGATTTCTTTTGGACGAACCATTCACTATCCCAAGAATACCTTGTTTTATATTTGTAGGGTCTGCAAACAGATGCAAAGGAGAATGAAAGTTAAGGGCAAACCTCTATCCAAACACTAGATCATGTGGCATTCCGTAAACTACTTCTGCCTAAACCAAACATTTAGAAAGGAAACACAGGAACCTTTCAAGGCACAGACCTAGCTGCTGACCTGAGCCATGCCTTTCAAACTGAAAAAAAGCAAGGCCATTTTGCTGGTTTCAATTGTAAGATTAAGTAATGTGTTTTCCTATAGTCATAATGAGAAGCTCTGCCTTTTCAGAATTATGGAAAGAAGCCAAAAACAGTAAGAGAAAATGCAAGCCATCGGTACCCCGCCCCGATCCTGGGTATAAAAGCCCACCTGACTGCTGTCAAGGTCCAAGTACATCCAGCAGTTTGGGCTGCCTGCCTGCCCTTTCCAGCCCCAACATTGCTGAACATTTGTATGTGATAATGTGACTGCTCTGAGTAAAGAAAGCTTTTGCCTCTGTTTGCCATCTTTCCTCTGAAATGTTGTAAAGTACAAAAAAAAAAAAAAAGATTGCTAAGCAGAGGAGTCAAAAGGCATGTATTCTTTGTATCCCGATTTAAAACAAAATTCGCTTGTTCCAGCTGTTAGAATTTAGGCACTAGCTTTCAATTCTAAAATATGTGTACAAGAATTCTATTAGAAAGGGGTGCAGAGCACCCATCCTTTTCTAGCCTAAGGAAGGGTGAGCTGATGAAGAGCACCTATGCCTGGAAATTTGTGCTAATAGAACCTCTTGCATCCTCTCTTTCCTTCTGAACTCCACATGGACACAACACGCTCACTCCAAATACTCAGGCGGACCTGTTTACAGTGTGCTATCTGAAATTCCACAAGCAAAGAGAAACTGCAGGCGTGGGTGTCAGACAGATCTCACAGGCACCAGCCAACGATTCTAAATCTGGCGGCTCTAGACCCTGCGGGGTCGCGGCTCCCAGCTGGCCTTCCAGCCATTCGGCGCAGGCCGAGGGGAATCCAGCCATGGAGATGAGGCCCCGGCGCGCACCCGCCCGCTCTCCGCACACCTACCGGGCGCCCGCTGTGCTCCGCGCCGGGCCCGCCCAGGGGCACCGCACACCAGCTGGCTCGCAGCGCGCTCCGGCCGTGCTGTTGGGGCACCCTGGTTCTTCACCCCATAAGGAAAAGAGTTTCAGCATTCGTGTAAACTTAGCCAGGCGACGCGCAAATACCATAGGCCGAGTGTTCACCAATGAAGTCTCCCTCCGGCTTCGGTGACACCGCCCCCAACACACTCAGCTGTTCGGCATTCCCTGCTTTCTTAGTGAAAACAGGAAACCAGGATCCTTTGAAAATGTGTGTTCTTCATTCCAGTGTTGCCAGAAGTAAAAATAAAGCCAGCAATTTAACCATCTCCACAGAGAGGCTCTGTCTGCGGGACCAGTCACTTCTGCATGAAAGAGTTTGTGTTCTTGTGTGGAAACTAAGCAGTCTTAGCCCTCAGTCACCTGAGGAAGTTAGAGGCACAATCGGCCCCACTGTTCTCTGCACGTTCCCAAAGTCCCCGGCAGGACCCAGTGGTTCCAGAGCATCGCGGGAACCGTCTCAGCACTTGGCTCAGAACCAGTGACAAGTAGTTATCCTTTAACAGGAACCTCAAGGGAGCCTTTGCCACTGATGAAAGTTCCTTTAAAAAGTTTTTAGACACCTTTTTCTAGTTACAAAAATAGTATGTTTGTAAAAAAAAAAAAAGTCATGTACAGACAATTTAAGAAAAAAAGTACTCATACCTCACCATCTAGTGGCAACTGTTAATATTTCATTGTAAGTCCTTCTAGGTTTTTCTGTCTATTTCTTAACATATTTACTTTTCCCACTTAAGCATTTTCAATAGAAAAAGGTTTATGTTTATCTAATTTCCCTTCAAACAGTCATCAGGGTTTAGAACACGACAAAATACATCTCATTTTTTTTTCAGTGAAATTGAACTGTCACATATTAAGTTATTTCTGAAGTTTACAAAAGGCATGGGTCATGGGGGTAACCCCCAGATAGACTCTGGACTTCTAAATTTGGGAATCAGTATAGAGTTAGAATGTTACCATGTTAGGCTTGATGATTTCCTAGTACTGCTTGAATCAGACTATCCTAAGGATTTGCAATCCAAATTTTATGCTCCAGCCACTAAAAAAAGCAAGCTATGTTCTCAAGTTGTCATTTTTACCAACAACTGTCCACAGTATGAACTGTTCTACAATTAAATAAAGATACACAGTGTCATTTTTTATCTCCTGCTTTCTAGTGTGCCTTTACATACATTAACACAAATATGGCACTTAGAGGGCCCTGACTGATTTCCCAACTTTCTCATGTATGTCGTCTTATCTCCCTATGAGAGACTATAACTATTTTGAGAGCAACAAATTTAATTTTTAAAACATCTTTCATTGCTTCCCCCTTCCCAAACACACACATCTATTAACAAGGTGCTGGGAACAAAGTAGATGTTTAAGAATGTTTGCTGAAGGAATAACTGAATATACAGTATACCATAATGAACTTTGAAAAACATCTTCACTGTGGAAAGAGTTGCTAGATCTATATTAGTGTTAAGGGCAATTCTTGTACAATGCTGTTTCAGTGGTTATCTTTAGGTTGTGGAATCATGGGTGGGTTTTATGTTGTACTTTATATTTTATGAATTTTTATAACACATAGGTATTTCTCTTTCAAAAAACATGATTACAAGAAGTCACTGTTTGGAAAGCAGGAGAAATGTACTGAAATCAATGCTAAGAAAGTTCATTTGGGAGGGGGATGAACGGGGTAGCCATGGCAAAAGACAGCTAGATATTCCACAGTATGTGCTATCCCATTCTTCCAAACTAATAGAACTAACTCCCATGTTTAGCTGGTTAAATATAAAGACTACATATTTCCCTAGCCTCCTTTACTGTTAGTATGGCCATAAGCAGAAATATCATGTAGCAACCTCCAGAAACCCCCCTTAAAAGACACAGGAATAGGTCTATGACCTCCTTTCTTCTTTGTTCCTTCTTCCATCTTGCTGCCTGGAATGCAGATGTGATGACTGGAACACTAGCTGCTATCCTGGATCATGAGCTCATACAGCAGGATGAAGGAACAGTGGGCTAAAAGGAACTTGGGTCTCTAGGAGTTTTGTGGATCAAAGCTACTATGCTATTTTTGGAAAGCCTACCTCTACACTTTTATGTGAATGAGAGAGAAACTTCGATTTTGTTTAGCTATTGTGTGTTTTAAGTCTCTGTTACTTGGCACTAAATTGAATTCTAATGGATACAGCAGTCTCTCTCCCATGTCTCTACTCTCCCACAAAAAAATTAAGACCAGATCTTTAAAAGAAGAAAAATGCTAAATAATAAACTGGGGAGACGTTACAATAAAACTTCTTTATTACAAACATTTTGATTAATTAAAGAATAATTAAGGGAGTGTAAACAAAAACAGTTTTAAAAAGTCTCTAAGTAGCTTATAAGGAGACACTTAACTGCCTAAAAGTCTTTTTTGGACTAACAGAGCTATGCCTGCTTATACACAGCCAAAAACCACTGGCTATATCTGCAACTGGAATCATGAAAGTAATGGCTTCCAACTAAACATTCTGGAATCAGAGGGCTGTCCCTGGTGTTTACAAGAATTTTCTGAATGTCTGGAAATCCAGCGGTGGAGACTGCCCCTGGCACCGCCTCTACCTTTATTATATAGCATTTACTGAAAGCTTAATTGGGTGCAGAAAATGGTTCTATTCAGTGGAACGAGTAGGAGGAAGGATTTATAAGAAATCAAATGAGGTATAGTCTAGCTGCGAGATAAATGCCAAACACTCTAAACATAACCCTAATTGAGATCAGTTACAAAGGCATATTATCAACAAGAACAATATGATAGTATGTGAATGAGTGATCAAAACAGAATGGAGTTAACCAGGAGATGAGTTCTGAAGAAAAGGTGAGTGATGACAGAATAAAAGGGAAAGAGAGGTAAATGGTGGAGAAAAGCCAGGGCACAGAGCCTGCTGGTACAGC